CGGGCGGCTGCGCCGGCGGCGAGTGCCTCTGTGTGTCTGTGTGTGCGCCTGTGTGTGTGTGTGTGTGTCTCTGCGGGGCCGGCATCGCGCGGTCCAGCCCCTCCGCCGGCAGCGCCGCGCAGACCCTCTGGAGTTAGCGTTGTTTCGGGTGGGGATCGGGCGGCGGAGATGGCTTAGGTGAGGTATCTAGGGGATCTCTCGGGAGCGCTGGCTCCTTTCAAGGGAAGGAGAACGATTTACTGAGAGAAGGGGGGGATGAAATGCCTGGGAGTGAAGTGTGGCGATGCTCCTCACAACCCGCCCCGAGCCACTCCGGAGTTCTCGCTGCGATATCCAAATGGCTCTTACCAGCTTTGGGAAAGGCGAGAGCTGGGACGGGTATGGGAGCCTTTTCCTCCTCCTCTCCTTTCCGCTCCCGTGCAAAGCCGCCCCGCTTTTTCCCGTCGCTAGATGGCGTGTGGATGACGGGAACCGCGAACGGGCGCTCGGTTCCTCGAGCTCTGCGTGCCGCTCTGATAGCTCCGATAAATACAAGGAACTATCTGTATTTTTTAATTAAGATTCTGAAAACACTCGGTCTCTTCTTCACAGAGCTTGCATCAAGATACCAGAAGGTATTCCTCTTCCTAATTTACGTTTGTTTCAGTTTAGTGGTAGGAGGCTTCCAAAGGAATTGTAGAGTAAATAAATTCCTTTATACTTGAAGATCTTCTGACCAAACCTCCCACTCCGATAACCTATTTGAGGCATATGCCAAACCCGAAACAAAAATAAACCAAATATATACTGAAGCTTGAGAAGTATCTCTTTTCTATATTTCAATAACGTGCTCAACTTCAGCTTCTGTTTTATTTCCCATGAAAAAGATGAACACTGTCAGTACTGTAGTCTCCAAGCTGTTCCTAGAAGAAGTACTAGAAAGCATGGAGCGAAAAGGTTTAAAAATGTTTGAGTGCAATTCCTAACTTAGGAAAACTTGTGGTGATGATCAATCACGTATATCAAATCACATGAAATAAAATATCACATAATACTTTCTGTAGTTTTACTGAAGCTGTTTGTTGTTTTGTTGTTTTGGTTTTTTTCCAGCTCAAATGTTCAATACATTATATCCTATAAATTAATCCATTAATTTGAAATTAGTTGGTCAGCTCTAGGTATTGAGCTTTCAATGATGCAGATATTCTTCTCCCATATGAAAGATTAGGGGTTTTGATTTGGTCCTACAAAAAGACAGTCCTGTAGCAATTAATAAAGCCCAATTTATGGTCGTGTCAGCTCAACACTGAGACAATAATGCAGGACTTCCTTTCCTGACAAATAATCAAAAGACATTTCATTTTCAGCTATAGATTCTTTTTGTAATCAATAAATGCTCTTATTTTTTTAACATGCCTAGCTTTACAGAAAACATTTGCTGGTTTCAGTAGCTTTTTTCTTTGCAGTTTTTCCAGAATAGAATTCTTCACTTGCAACAAAGGATTTTCCCCCCCTAGAGAGGTGATAATGGGTTCCATTAAAGAATCACTTGGATTCTTATTGTAATCTTAAAGTTGTTTCAGAGACTCACACATTTCATCAGGAAACAAAAAAACTCAAACAAACCCTAGACATTTGGACAAGTGGGTATCAGATAGTGTTATAACATTGTGTCTGTTTTAAATCAGAGGTTTGAAACCAGTCCAGGTTCAAAGTCTTTTCTGACACCATAGACTATTTCGAAAAATGATCACCTCACCTTAAATTTTTGTGGACAGCCTGTATATCAGAGAGGCGTCTTTCAGAAACAGTGTCTTGAAAGGAAAAGACAAAGAATATGCTCTATTACCTTCTTATTCTAACAGAAAGTCCATTAATATACTACTGAGAAGTGATAAGCAGGAGCTCAAACTTTCACAGCTTGTGCCTTGAGTTTAGTGCCTTGAAATTCTCCAGCTGCAGTATTCCTTACTTTGTACATTTCAGAAAGACTAAATTCTGGTATGTAAAGTGTACCTAAATAATCAGCTCTTCTGAAGTCATAATCCTGCCTGTGACATCAGAATTAGCTACCAAGAGATTGGTGTGATGTGACAGGGAGGATTATGACTTCAAGTAGGAATTAAGTATCAGGGACTCAAATGAGACAAAAATCCTATTTTCAAGCGAAGAAAATAAATCCTAGTAATTGTAGGAAAAGACGAAAATGGTACTAAGGGGAAAACACAATGGACTCTAATATGAGTTGTTTCTTAATTCTTTCCGAAGTCATGAGGCACAAAGAACTCTCTAAGGATTAAAGAAGATAACAGCTATGGTGCATAAGTTAATATTAATGCATTTAATTTTTTCTTTAATATTTTTAGAAGTATTTGCAATGTTTAAAACCAAGAATTTTCTTTACAGACTGAATGTACATGTACATGCCCTCTTCCTAATTCCTCTAGTATTAAGCCAGTGGTCTTTCTTTTTGAGAAAAGAACACTACAAATATTTAAAGCCACCTTGTAAGCCTTAACCTCAAGATTCAGCTATACATCTGACTTTTTTCTTTCCTTCCTCTTTAGTCTAGAAGATAAGTTCACAGTTCCTGCATTCTTATATTTTTGTACACTCAATACCAAATGCATAAAATCATGTGGAGATAACTGGTTTCTGAGTATATGCTATTTTCTCTCTTCTGGATTAGTAAGAAGAGCTTCCATTAAAAAACATGTATTTATCTACTATTTGGTCAAACAATGCAAAGGGCTTTTTTTTTTTTTTTTAATTTATAGGGACCAACATTACTTATTCTTCTTCAAAATACAAAAGTTTCTTCCAAAACCCACTTTGGTTATTACTAGCAGAATATTCTACTGATCTGCCTCTTCTACCTCATGTATTGCTTGTTTGAAGGTCTGAATGCTTCTCAGTCTGAGCAAAAGAGATTTGAGGTTTTGGTGTTTTGTTTTGAGGGTTTTTTTTTTCAATGGGGGGAACATTCCTGAGACCTTCTAAGTAGAAAAAGTCTGGTATAAGGATTTCTAGAGTGCTGATCACAGCCCCACTGAAGAACTGGGTCACAAGATTAAGAATGTATCTCACAGAGGAAAATGTTTGATTCTATAATACAAATTAAAAAAAAATAATGCTTTGGTCAAACACACAATCAACGCAAATATATATAGTCATAGTCTGCAATTTCCTCACCTTCATAGATTTGTCTTGCCTAAATCTAGCTGCTTTTTGTACTATGGGCCAGTCAGAATAAGTGGGAGGCTTTTGATATGGGCATAATTTTCCAAAGACAAAAAGCCATCTTTCTGGGAGTTTGCTAAAATAGGCTCAGGTCACTCTGCAGTGCAAGTGC